CCCCACCAACTATGGTTCCACGTAATCTTGAAAAGAAACAAGAGATAAATACAAAGGGGACATGGCGCTGCTTGCTTTGTATACGCGCACAATTCCAATCACCATCATCCCCCGGGAACATGTCATAAGAAAGATTGCACCCGCAAGAAGTAATGTTGTCCGCTTTATCAGATAGATAAATGTAGATCTGGATTGGAACTGAATCGATCACATGATCCCTACCTCTTCTGTGGGTGATCTTTCTTTGTTAACCGGCGCGGTAATTGATCACGCAATCCCTCAAAATGGTTGATTCGTGATTTTCATGTGTCCGATCCTCATGGAACCCGTCCTTGATCGCATTCTATGGATCCCATGATCTCTCACCAGTCAAAAGCGATCAACCAGCTGTTGAGACGCTGTTGCTTCCTGTACCCCCCGGTTAACCCCAGCTTCCTTCGATTTCGTCGTCCTAAATTCAAAGCTTATCTTTTCGAAAGCATTTTATGCGAAAAATAGAAAATTTGATGTGTTTGCGTCGCATTACGCTTTTTTTATGTACCTCCTTACTCTACCTGCGCCCTAATGCCATGGACGCAGTGCTTATCGTACGCTCCCATCACCCTTGTCACGCACAAAATAGGAAGCCTTCATTGATAACCCAAATGCCAGCCTCTACTTCCAGAAGCAAGTCTTCTCCATCATCTTCATCTCCCCTTTCTTTACCGTCCACACCTTTCAATAATCGAACTGCTACTGATTTGACAGGTCGTCTTCCCTCCTCCTCCTCCTCCTCCGCCGCCGACTTCCTTCCCCCTTCCGAATTTCCGACCTCCGGCCTTCATCGTCCACCTCTGCCTTCCTCATCAATTTTGAAGTTTTCTGATGCCTCTTTACATTCTCCTGCTTCCTTTTCCACATCTGATGTGGTTCCTATCGTCTCTACGTCGACCACCATTACCGTGCACACTTTCCCATCAACTTCACCTTACTACACTATGTCAGGAGTTCTACCACGGCGAGTCCAACCATTAAGGCAGCGCAGACTAACAGTCAGAGTACAGGCTGCAGAGGTCGCCACAAAGGGTGTTGGTGACCAAAAATTATTAGGAAAGAAGAATGTTGGTTACAAGAAAAGCAAAGCGAAGAAGGAGGAGGTGAAAGAGAGAGAGAAGATTAAGCTGACCTTTGCTGACATCTTACACGTCCCGCTGCCTTATTATGATATCTGCTATAGTTATGGCAAACCTATCCCTATCCTTCTTCTTTCTTCCGGGCTTTTACGACCACACCGGGGAATGAACGCTTTTCCTTCTGGAAGTGTAAGTCTAGGAGGGTCTGAGACCCAGAAAGTATAAGAGGAGTATAAATATTGATTTTCTACGCGCATTGTAGCAAAAGTATTGGAAAGGGATGGTGTTTCACGGGGAAGCTAACGTATTTCTGTTGTGTGGCGTTGCATATACTCGCCATTTTCGCCCTTTGATGTTCGTTTCCTAGTGTCCCATGCGTTATTCAGATCCGACGAGTGCCATTTTCAGCAGTAGATGGTCGGGGAGACCTCCTTTTTCGGCTCTTCATCGGTGTTCTCTCCCGTCGACAGTCGTGTCATGTATCCCCTGTCCTCTCTTTTCCCTCGTTACTACAACAGAGAATCGCCTTCTTCGTCTTCCGAGAAACCGGGGCCCGCTGTCTCGATTCCAGGCAGGCATTGCTCATGAAAGAGGTCAAAGATAAGGTAAGAAAGGTCCAGGGAGGAGGTAGATGAGGGCAGCAACAAGTGGCCTGCGTATCTTCAATGAAGAGCGAATCGAACAATAAGTAATAAGGGGCGCAATATTTGTCAAAGTAGTCTTGCAGTAAACGTTTTTCTCCTCCCTCACCATGAAGGCCATCCGGACCCCCCACCTTGACACGCTTCCAGAGGAGGAGGAAGAAGAGAAGGAGGAGACAGGGGGAGCAGCCTGGACAACAAACTCCAAGACCAGGGCGTCTCTTCGCAAACGCAAGTGGGACGCTGGGACCGAGGGGTTGGAAGGGCGAAAGGGAGGGAAGGAGGACAAGGCCTTCCTGTCTCGTCGTGCTTGGCGAAAGAAGCGAGACGGGCGAGGTGAACCGGGAGGAAGGGAGGGAGGGCGCGACGGGCACTTTATCTCCTAATGCGGTCGGTCTCCTTCAAGAAGCAGAAAAAGTCAGGAGCAAGCATGGGAGAACGCGGGAAAGCAAGGAAGAAAGAATGGTTGAGGAACACCCAGACATATCAAGGAAAGACAGGCTTCGAGTTGGTGTGCCTGGGGTGGCGAATATCCCCGGGCTTTCAGCAACATGTGACGAGCGTTGCACTCGATTGCCAGCCGTGGGGGTTGTGGATGGTTTAGAGAAAGTGTTGCACGCGTGGGACCGACTCCGCAGGCTATGACCGACCGCAAAGTGAGAAATGCCTCGGACAGTATAGACAAAAGCTACAGTAGAGAGTGTCAGCCCCAAGGGTCGATGTCGCATCCATTGATCTCAAGATAGGTGCACCGCATCATATCCCTCAGGAACAGAAAACAAGAGGCGTGCATATCCGTCTTTTTTTCAACCCCCCAAACGTGGCAGACAGACCATTTCGATTGACGATTGCCTCATTCCAAGCATCGCGGTACGCGCTTTCATGATTTCCGACTCTTCCCCGGGGGTTCGCTCTTGCTCTTTGGCGATGCTTCCTCTCCCCTTGTTTCACCCTCTAATCCCCTTCCACTCTCCTGCTCCCACGCCAGCCTCGGTCCACATCCTCCTCCCCTTCCCCTCTTCTTCCAACTCTCTCCATTCAAGCAATGCTTTTATTCCAATGGGCTTCCATTTCTTGGAGGCGCCCCCTCCGTCTCCCGCATACCCCTCATTCGTCGGTCCCTTCCACCTTCCTTTCTCCACTCTCTCTCGCTTCTTGCACACGATTCTTCCCGTACAGGGCTTGCCGTTTCAGAGAGACGCTCTTTACGAACTTGGAACGGCGGTTCTCGCCCGCCCGTCTCACGCCTAGTAGGGGGGAGGGTGTTTCACAAGGGGAGGAAGGAGGACGATGCTCACTCAGCTTTTGGCTTTCTTTATCCCGACATGAACCATCTTATTTGAGCGGCAAACCACCCGACATAGGGCGATTAGGTGATACATCGAGCTCCTTTGTTTACTTTCGAATTTCCTCCTGCTGTTTTCTTCCCTCCCCCCCTCCCTCGGCCCTCGGTCTCTCCGGTTCTCACCTTGTTTTACAGGGGAACGGACTTTCCGAGCACGGGATCCCTGCTGCTGGAGAGAGAGGATGGCCGTCGCCAGGCGGGCCTCTTGCCTTTTTGCCTGGGATAAAAGGGCATAAGGTGGGAGATTGAGCGGAGGGAACGGAGGTAAGCAGTGGGGGAGGACATGATTCTTGACATATATGTATGTATATATATATGTACGCATATAACAAGGGAGAAAGAAAACTCGAAGAGACGGGCAGGTGCGAAGGAAAGCAAGAATAAACAAGAAAGTCTGCGTGCTTCATGACACACACACAGGCGCAGAAATGCTGAAAATGGTAAACAACGTAGGGAGGGAGGTATAGGTATGGCATGTGCCGGGAGAGAGAGACATCATCCCTTCCTAGAGGCGTATCCCGACCTGGAGATTCTCCTTCTCGCGTCGAGGCATGATCTTCTTTTCCTTCTTGGCGCCGTCTTTGGCTGCAACGGCCGTTTTGAAGGCCCGTTTATTCGTCATGAGCCTTTTCCGTTGCGCCTCTGGGCGGGCGGGGGAGCTGAAGGGAAAGGGGAAGAGCACCGAATAAAAAGAGCAAAGAGTGAGTCTAAAGCACTTTGGAATGTGTAAAGAGGGAATAGTACACCGAGAGTCAGGTCACATTCCAGCAGCAAATCATGCCATCCGCTGCTGTTGCCACCTCTCTTTCCTCTCCCCCTTCCTTTTGCCCCATACTCATAGCGGAGACTGCAAGGAGTACACTCGCCCCTCCAACACTCTTTCCTCCTTCTCCCTCTCCCCCTGCATACATCCCATACCGGTTTTGCGTTTGATTTGTCGGCTGGGCTTTGGGCTGGAAGGGCGTCTTGCTGATGAGAGCCACCACACGCGAGGTCTGAAAGACGAGGAGGGGAGTAGGGAAGCAGGGCAGGGGGGGAGGAGGGAAGGAGGGAAGGAGGGAAGGCGGGAAGGAGGAAGAAGGAAAGGAGAGGATTGCGTGAGGGAGATTCCGGGAGCAGTGGGAGATCACGGCAAAAGGGACAAAGAGCAACGAGGAACAGAGACGAGAACGGGAGGGAAGGGCAGAGAGTCTGTTTCCGCTTCGTATCTCTCGTCAATATATGATGTCTCCCCCCCTTCCTCTTTCCCGCCCTCCCTACCCGCTGAGCATTGAAGGTCTGTCTCTGCCTCTCCCTGGCCGCCTTTCGCGCCGCCACCACTTCAGCGAAGCGATCGAGGGGGGAAGAGAGGGAGGAAGGGAGGGAGGGAGGGAGGGAGGGAGGAGGGGCACCAGTGGACGATCGCCGGCCCTCTCGAGGAGGAGAGATG